AACCAAACAAACAAAAAACAAACCCACACACAACAACAACAACAAAACCCAAACCAAACCAAAACCCCCAAAACAAAACAAAAAGCCTTAGCAGTGACCAGCACCTACTGGTTAGCAGTGAGCCTCAGAGGAAAGGAAGATTATTTGTATTATTTGGCATTATTTGGCACGAGCTTCTGGAAGTAGTAATAGGTACTTGCTGGTCAGAAAAGGATAAGTAATAAATCAAAGATGATACCGGGCTTCCTTTGCAAACAATATGCAAAGACGCCTTAATTATCCACCTGTTATGTGAGCTCAGGGACAAGGTCTGGAAAGGAGCAATACTGAAGGAGGGTTTACCAAGTGCCAGGTACTGTTGGTTCATCTCATTAATTCACGAACAGTTAGGGCATTATTACCTTTCATGGACAAATGAAGAAACTGAAGCTCAGAGGCTGTCATTTGTCCAAAGCCACACAACAGCACAGGATACGGTGACTTCCTAATATACTTTCCTTACCACTGCCATGTCTACTCCCGTGGAAGAGTCTGTCCCACTGTTGGCTGTGTTCTCATGTCTTAGAAGTATAAAGCTAAATGTGTTTGCAGTTAGGAGAAGAGTCCACAAATGATCTACTTTTGGCTTCTAAACATACAGTCAAAGCAAAGGCATTCTTGGGGCTGAGTTTCGAGAACAGTATGATATGGAGAAAGGTTTGAGAGGCCTCTGATGCTCATGGACAAGAAGAAAGGCTTTTCACAGGGAGGCTGCAAGAGAGGTGCTGGGATGGGATGGGCAGCTAGGCGTACCATAGGGAATTCAGCGACAAGCGATGTCTGTTGCATGCTTTATAGTACGTGTAATGCTTCCGAGGTGAGGAGTTGGGAGCGATGGAAGAGAACGGTGTGCTCTAAAACTATGGAGAGAGGGCAGGGAGACCTAGAGCAAGCACACACCCAACCCCAGAGAGTTCACTTTCCTCATTTGTCCAAGAAAGCTAATAATGTCTAACTGTTCATGCATTATGAGACAAATAAACCAACCAATGGAGGTGTACACAGGCAGGCCCATCCCAAGGCAAAGCTGGACCAGCGAAGATCGAAGATCGTGCCTCCCTTGGCTGACTAAGGTGTCAAGTTGCCCTCTCACTGAGTGACTGGCATGGGGAAATGTGATTCGGTACAGTGGGCAGAGCCGGCGTAGTGGGCAGGGCCAGAGCCCAGGCCACTTACTCGAAGTAGTGCTGCCCTTCCTTAGGGCCATTTTTAGGGACTCTCAATTTGAGAAATCAGTAAGGGAATTGGAAAGAGAAGTGAAACATATATGCTAATTAGATGGAACGGCCTGGGCACGGAGTATGAGATGCAAATTGGACAGCCCTCCTGGGACAGAACGGCTGTGCCGCATCTAAATATAACTTAAAACATTCTCACTAAAAAGTGTTTTCTCCTGGAACTTCCCTGCTAATGGTAAGTGGGCTTCCTGGTTTTGCTCAGCCCTATCTATCCTGTACTACAGTCCATGGGGAAGAAGGGGTGGGCGTGTGTCCTCGTGGTCCTCCTTGTCTCTTTTCCCTTCTCTCAGAAACCCCAGGTCATCTGCAGTGCCAGCTCTCCCATCTCCCTCCCGAGAGGCTCCAGTCGGGCTAGCCTCACCTTTCATGGCAGTGGTTTCAGCACCCAGTTCACTGTGCCTTTGTGGCTATTGCCGCTGTGGTCACCCTGGTCCACAGCCTGCTTATGGTCATAGCTAGTTGATGGCTCATGTCCGCAATGCCAGCATTACGAGGTGCAAGCAAGAGTACCAGGAATTTATGGACAATCTCAACTAGAAAGTAAGTATGGGACAGCCTGGGCTACAGGAGACCCTGCCTCTAAACAAATAAAATCAACCAAAACTCCCCCTCAAGCTCGTGCAGAACAGTAGCTGGCCTCTCCATTCCCTGACCTCACTTGGTCGTAGCCATTTTCCATAATCTACAATCTCCCAGATCTTAGTTCTGGCCATCCCACATCTGTTCCCCTTTACCTCATCTACTGTGCACATAGCCAGCAATGCAGTGAGGACACCAGCTTCACAACCGGGAGGAAGTGGATTCCCCACTCCTTTTAGAGAACAAATTTAGTAAGGCTAGCCTGGGCTACATAACAAGATTCTACCTCAAAAAGAAAAAAAGAAGAACAAATTTGATTTTTCATTAACAGTATATGTGTGATGGCTATTCCCAGTTGTCAACTTGACTATCTGATATGCCACATACAATGTAGGATTTTATATATATCTCAGATACAATGTACGGTAATTGTATATATATGTATATAAAATATACATATTATATAATTATACATATAATTATATATGTACATACACATATGTTAATGTATATGCACATATATAGGCATATATACATATATGTTAACTTAATATCTCTATATCACTGAAATGGTGCCATCTGAGAGAGAAGAGACTTCTCAAATGGAGACACACAGGGAAAGGGAAGCAGTAGGCAGGACAAGTACTCAATGCTAGGTTACCAGGATCTACCCAGAGACCCCACTGAGCCACATCCTCTGGGCTTTAATCACACAGATCTCTCTGAGTCTAGAGGAGGAACCAGCTGAAGTTTTACCTAAGGCCCCAGGTGATTCTGAGTGGACAAGCAGACTGCTGTAAAGCTGGAGAGAGTTTGGCCCCAAACAAAGGCAGGTGAGCCATATTAGAGCAAGACTAAGAATTAAGGCAGGGCTTATTAAGTAACAGACTACAGGGCTTGTGAGTTGATGGACAGAGAGAGTGAAGGACGGTGTACAGACCCATGGGGAACAGGTGTGCTTCCCGGTTTTGTTCCGGGCTTGGGTAATGGCACCTCTGCTTTGTTTATCGAATTCTGGGCTTTTGGAAGGGCTCCTCTGAAGGCACTCACAGATAAGAGCCTGGGCAGAGCTTCTAAGGCTTCTTCCACTCACTATCCTTTTCTGCCAGATAAGCTTTGCAAAGCACAGGTATACTGAGATACGAAGTAGGTATACAAGGTATTTATTGCTAAATCATAAAGAATTTGATTTTAAAGCAATTCTTTGGAGGCTAGAGTAACGCCTCAGCAGCCAAGAGCACTGACTGCTCTTCCAGAGGTCCTGAGTTCAATTCCCAGCACCCATAAGGCAGCTCTCAACCATCTAGACTTTAGTGGCATGGCATCTGATACGTTCTTCTGGTGTGCAGACAGACGTTCATGCAGCCAAAGTATCCATATACAATAAATAAATAGATATTTACAAAGTTCTTTGGTATACATAATTTTACTATTAAAGATGAAAGCAAATCTGCATACCAATAAATGCACAGACTTGCTTATTTTTAAATAAAGAATTAAATAATGGCTGCAGGTTGATGCAATGCTTTCCATTTTTTTCAGTTCACTAATATTTTGATTTGATATATCAGTGCTGAGAACACCACTTTGCATAAATATGTTGTGCGAAATGGTGGGATCATGTTTAGAGCCATATTGGAAAAAGCTGGATAATCTCACGTCAAAACTTACTTAATGATCTTTGAATGAAACTCAAGTCAATAACTCAAACAGCCATTTTTAGAATCAAGCACCTTAATGCAACAAAACCCAGAGATACACAAATTTCACACTTGGAGTATGACAAGCTGAGGAACGATTTAGGGAATTATTAAAAGGCATTGCTTTCTGCAATTAAACAATTATGTTTCTACACGTTTAGAAAAGTTGTCTACACGTTAAATCCTAACGCACGGCACTCTGGATTCTGAGTGGAGATGTTTCGGGCAGCATTTGCTGGGCACTGCTCTGAACCTTGCTGCAGAGAAGTCGTGAGGGAGCAACGCTGGATGCTGTCAGAAACACCTTGAATTCACAACGCGTTTGATTTTGAATGAACTTAGCCCACTGTTTCTCAGAAACACTCCCGTTTCTTCTTTTAAACTGCTGTCAAATTGTCTCCTACACTTGGAGTTGCGACCTACACCTTAAGTAGGGGTTCAAACACGATGTAGTAGAAATCCTAGTTGTTCCGCCGTTTTTTTGTTTTTTGTTTTTTGTTTTTAAGCCACCAATTTTTGTTGTTGTTGTTTGAAATTTGCATGCTGCATATCACCCCGTCCCTAAGCGAGAAGCTACAGGATTGAAATGGCTTGTCTGAGAAACCTTTCCCAAATCGCGCGGGAGGGATGTAATTCCACTCCACGGATCGGGGGTTCAAACATTTCTCTTGACGCCCTGGGAATTGATAAAGCGTGTATGTAAGAGCCTAGGTTCGAATCCCACTTCCCATGCAGGAATGTAGGCGGCCAGGCGGGGCTTGCCGTGCGGGGTGACCCGAGACGACCTTGAACTTCCGAGCCTTTCAGTGCCTCCGCCCTCCTTGGTTCCCTCCTGGCCAAGTCCACTCACTTCTCGGAGAGTCCGGCCCAGCATAGTCCTCGGAGTCAGCCCAGTACCACAAAGTCCCGGAGCGGAGGAAGGAACCAACGTCTGCCACCGGCGTTACATGGGCGCAGACATCTTGGATCCTCTCCTCAACAACGAGCGCCCGGATTGGTTGAGTTCCCGGCTGCGGAAATGATCTCTGCACACGATTGGCTCGCGCGCCGGCGGCAGGAGGCGCGCGGACAGGCAAGGAGACCGCGGCTGGGGTCGCGACAGGAATCCGCCTGTCCTCCGGGTTGCAAGCTCGTCCCACTGAGGGCTCCCTGCTTGCTTGCTTTTTTCCTCAAGGGGAAGGAGAGCGTAAGGAAGGAATGGCCAGAGTACTGACTGGGCGCCAACTGGGACATTTCTGATGTGGGGAGCACAGTAGCAATTCTATTTTCTCCCGTTGCTGCTTTAGGTTGAGTTTGTTTCTGAAAGCTCCTCCTCCCTAATTGACCAGTGGGTTTGGCAGAATTGGTTGAATTGAAATGTGTTAGTTTGACCCGCTTCAGGTCCTTTCTCCGTCCCCTCTTTCTTTCCTTTTTCTTTTTCTTTTTTTTTCTTTTTTTTTTTTTTTTTTTTTGAGGAAACATTCTCCATCCCTGCTCAGGATGGAAGTTTTGAAGATCTGTGTACTTAGAAGAAGTGCTGCCTCCTGCTTCTGGAGAAGGAAAGTTATCCCAAAGCCACCATTTAGAGGCATTAGTACTACGTCTGCGAGGAGCACTGTCATGCCCGCTTGGGTGATAGATAAATATGGAAAGAATGAAGTCCTTCGGTTCACCCAGAACATGTTGCTACCTATTATACACTATCCAAACGAAGTCATTATCAAAGTGCATGCTGCCAGTGTAAATCCTATAGACGTTAATATGAGAAGTAAGTTGTCCAGCCTCGTTTTTTTTTTTAAAATCAAAATTCACTGGGCGCACAGGTGTTTTGTTTGTGTAGTTTTGTTTTTGTTTTGAAACAAGGGTTTGTTGTGTAGCCCAGGCTGGCCTCCAACTCACTGTATACCCCTGACTAGTCTGCACTCTGCAGCCCTCCTGTTCTGCCTCTCCAGTCCTGGGATACAGCAGGTTAGACCACCACACCTAGTTACTAGACTATGTCTAGGTTGGCTTGAAGGATTCATTTAGGTTCCCTATTCCATGTATTTATTTTGTGTTTGGGTGTGTGGAACAGCGCACACGTGGAGGTCAAAGGACATCTTGTGGGAGTGAGTTTCTTCCTTCTACCATTTAGGTTCAGGGGATTAAACTGACCCTCAGGTTTGGTGGCAAGCACTACTATAGGCAGAGCCATCTGAAATCCTGTAGGTCTCTGATACTATCCCTGCAAATATTTCTGAAGTTTTGATGTCACAACTGCCAAGGTATACTTTAATCTTGTATTAAATGTGTTTGCTTCCTTTCACATGCGAATTGGGACTGAAAAGTCATGTCTACTGTTGATTTGCTCTGTGGTAATTTTAACATACAGCACAGATTCCAGAGTTTGGTTATGTTTCCACATCAGTTTAGAGTTTGGGTTTATGTAATTCCTGTATCCTTCTTGCTGTCCTACTGTTCACAACTTCTGTTATAGCCCCATGGACCAAGCAACAGACCAGGACTCCTGACATGGGCACAGCCTCCTCCTCATCTCTATGTTCCCACCCCCCATGCCCCACCCTGGCTAAAATGTGTTTTCTTCTTATAGACCTCTTGAAGCTGGGATAATGTTATCTATTTTTCTGGGACATGTTGAAAAGCTTGGGGAGAGCATTCCTTAAATGTATTCTTATATTCTATACTGTGATTCTACTATGGTGGTGAACAGATTGATTTGTATTTATAAATTACTTTAATTCTGGAAAAAACTGGCAAAAATATTGTCAGTCCTGTTTATGGGAACTCATCCGAGTCTTCTGAAGATGAATATCTTCTAAGATGACTAATTCCCAGGCAATTCACTCTCTAGTGTTTAAGGAAGCTGCCAAATGCTTAACCCTGGGCCAGTATTCTGAAGGGCTTCCGTGGGGTCTACAGTGGCCTTCAGTGCCTCAGCAACAGTGTTCATGTATGACTTGGTATGGGACAAACTTAGTTTCTATGTTTGTATATGTACATATGTGTGTGTGTGTTTGTATGCACGTGTGTGAGTGTGTGTATCTGTGCTTGTGCTTGTGTGTGTGCGTATATGTGCACATGTGAGTGTGTGCGTGTGCATGTCTGTGTGTATTGTCTGGTTACCAATTAAGTTAAAAGTAGAAGAAGATGTTAAGATCAACTTTACTTTTTCTCCAGAAATGATGTAATAGAGTAGCAATTCTCAAACTAGACTCAGTCTCATTGGTACCTAAAAAATGACTGATTTTTATATAAGCTATCATCATCTTATTAGAAATTTGAACAGATGCTAAAATTTTTATTTTAAAATATAGTAAATACAAAATTAAAACAGGAGAAAAGTATGAACTAGCTAAGAGACAGGTATGTGCACCGCTCTGTTGGGCAGTGGCTGGTATAGCACAGGATTTAACTCCAAAGAGTTTTCTGGACTAGAAGAACTATTTATGTCAGTGAGATGGCCCAGTGGGGAAATGCACTTGCTGCCAGACCCAAGTTCAGTCCCTGTGACTTACCTGGTAGAAGGAGAGAAATCACCATGGAAAGTTGCCTGTGGCACGTTTTACTATGCCCTAAGTAAATAAAATTTAATAAGTTGTAAAAATTATTTTCCAAAATAAGCCAGGAAATTTATTGAGATGGTTAATATTATTTTATACTTCAGTACATTTCTTTGATGCCTGGTTTAATAGAACATCTGGATTTTCATACATGGTTCTGTATTCTGTTACAGTGTTATTTGAAATAATGATGAAAAAGTAGGCCCATAAAGACCGTTGGAAAAGAAGAAACGTGTTTTAGACTCATTGTTCAGATTGCAGGCATACCAAATCTGGAGAACCTCTGGATTTGGGGAGTCACATCCAGATTCATAGATGTTAGGTTAGCACAGTGACTTGAGTTTTGTTGCTGTGGCTAGTAGCCACTAGCCATATAGGGCTTTGAGCAGCAGATGTTGCTGGTCTGAATTGAAAGTGCAGTGGTGGCGCACACCTTTAATCTCACAGCGCTTGGGAGGCAGACGCAGGTGAATTACTGAGTTTGAGGCCAGCTTGATCTACAGAGTGAGTTCCAGGACAGCCAGGGCTACACAGAGAAACCCTGCCTCGAAAAACCAAAAAAAAAAGAAAAGAAAAGAAAAGAAAAGAAAAGAAAAGAAAAGAAAAGAAAAGAAAGTACAGTCACTGTAAAATATACTAGACTTCAAAGAGAGCAGAGAGTTAAATATGTCTTGGAGGTAAGGCTGGCTTAGTGGTAGTAATTCCCTTAGTGGTAGTAATAGCCATGTAAGGCTCTGGGCCAGATCTCCAACATTAACAGCAACAAACAGACATAAAACAAAAGCCAAGAATTCTATATTAATTACATGTTATCTAGATAATATCTGTGGATATTTGAGTAAAGTAGTCCTAAAATTGCTTTTGTTTCTCTTTATCTGGTAGAATAATGACTAGTAGCTTTTCTTCAGAGGAAAAAACTTGGAGAAAGGTTTGGAGTCTTAAAGTGTTAAAATGTTTGTAGCTGGAAAACTGAAACTAGGGAGATAGCTTGAGTGAGGCGTACCTAACCAGAACCCTGGCTTGAGATCCAGCACTGCAGAAGCGGGGCGTGGCAGTGCACACCTGCAGTCCTGTCACTGCAGAAGCAGGGTGTGGCAGTGCACACCTGCAGTCCTGGCATTGCAGAAGTAGGGCAGGAGCACTGAAAGGTTATACTCTGCTACACCAGAGTCTGAGGTTGGCCTAGGTACTGTCTGAGAACAGCAAACAAATCACCAGCAGGAGGTGGGAGCTCAAGGCCATCTAGGGCTGGGCCATTAAAGTGTCTCCAAAAACCAAAATAACAACAACAATAACAATACGTTGAAAACACCTTTCCTCGACTGTCTCCTTTGAACTTTTTTTCAGTGCTGGGGTGTTTCAGTTCTCCCCCTCTAGCTTTGAGTAGATGGAATGATTGCTATTCCTAGCTGCATGTGATTTTACTTCATTCTAAATGTTTTATTTTTACATTGAGCTTAAAGGTAATTCTGTTTTATAAAATGTGCATATACACTTTGTGCTGTGTACAGTTTCATTTCAGTAGAGTGGCCGTGTCCAGATGTTTCTTGGCTACGGTTTTGGGTAATACCATAGCACAGTTTACTTTTATAGAGTATTTTTGAGGTGATCTAGTGTCTTACTACTAGACTGGGTAATATTATTTGCAAGTTATCTTTTAGCTCATGGCTGCTTTTTGAGACAGTATTATTGTTGCAGAAGATACCTGAAAATGGTAGCTTTGGGAGATATTTGAGTAGAAAATTATTTCCCAAGAGAAGAAAACAAGAGATGCATCTATTATGATGGATAAAGGCTGCTTTTCTGAAAATGGCTACTACTGTTAGACATAAAACAATAAATCATAGAAATGGCTAAATCAATAAATAATTTAAAAATAACATACCCAACAGTATGTGCAACACATTTTGGTTTCTTTAGATGGAATTGAAGTCTCTGAAATTGAGGAAATCTTGGGGATTTTCTAATTTAGCCTTACTCTGAACAAGTTATGCCCCTGTCAGGAAGAGCCTCTTTTTTTGGGGAGGGGGTGGAAAGAGTCCCTTATGGGTGGACTGGCCCAGACAATGCAGCTGAGAATGATCTTGAACTCCCAATCCTCCTGCCTGTGTTCCATAAGCACTAAGATTCCAGGTGTGCACGTGCCACCACCCACAGCTGGGAAGACAAGTTCAAACCCCATTTTGTCACTAAACAGGTTCTATTTCTCATGGCTAGCTAGGCCTAGCTACTCTTGGTATATTAGCATATTAGAGTTATTAAGAAAACTGTTGGAAGCAACCTGAACTGTTGGCTTGGAAGCTCAGAAAGGGCTGGGACCTTTTTGCAAGTTTACAACAAAATTATGACAAGGCTGAATGTCTACTTCTGTTTCCCAAACCACAAAGGGTTTCAGTGAGTAAATTGCTATGCCTTAGTAGAGGGAAATAAATACAAGACAGGGAAAAAGAGCACGGGCCTTTGCGAGTCTGTTTTGTTCCGTGATGGAGTGAGTACAGCTCCAGCTCGCCAGATGGTAAATGTGGAGTGTTGGCATAAGGACCAGCAGCTTAGATTTTTCTGCTACTATCCCAACTTTTATTTTTTCCCATGTGGCTTGATTTTTTTTTTTTTTTAATTAGAAAAACAACTTGTGCAGACTACCCACCTACCAGCCTCTGTCCATATCTACCTTTCCTTGTGTGGTGTAGACCGGTTGTCACTGTCCCTCTAGGGCCAATCTTCTGCTTGTCATCCTGATCCCATCCTCTCGCCTTCTCTGGGGCGCCTGTTCTCTCCTGCATTTCTATCTTCTTTTGTGCTGGATCATTCACACAAGCTACAACTTTATCATCATTATTTTTTATTTATTCTGCCATGGTCTGTGTTGTTATACATACTTCGTTTAGAGTTTTCCTTAGCTGTTTTTGATCTTACTTGAAAAGAGCATTAAATATTTTCAAGGGCCTTCCTTTGGCTTTCAGAACTCCAGTGGAATAGCTAGGCCCAACTATTACTTGGGATTATTATTGTAGATAGAGTAGTTAATTTATTTGAACCAAAATAATGGTTTCAGTTTATTTTTCTGTTATTGGTATAAATATCCTTAAAAACAAGGTATGGGTTTGCATGTAGTACTGCACACCTTTAATCCTAACACTGGGGAGGCAGAGGCAGACAGGTAGGTCTTTGTGAGGCTGGCTTGGTCTACATAGCAAGTCCAGGTCAGCCCAAGGCTACATAGTAAGACTGTCTCAAAAATAAAAAACCAACCAATGTCCCCATTCCTATCCCCCACCCCTCGTCCCCAGGTATAATGCAATTGACTTGGTCAGACATGGCTCTTTTCCTCTAAAATTCTTTGCTCTTACTCAAAATCACTATTCTAGATAGATTTTTAGGAAGTGTGGACTAGAACTCAAACTTATTACTAGTATCAGGTACTTTAATGCCCATGACTTCTTTCTATCCTGAACATGTTTCTTATTTATAGCGAGTGTGAGTAGCAGGTACATTAATATGCAGGAGTTCTTTATAACTTGAACATTTTTCTTCTTTACCAGCCTTAGTACTAAATTAAAACTATTTGTGTGTGTTGTTAAACAAAATTATGCAAGCACAGTGGCACTTAACTGTAATCCCAACATTCAGGCTGAGACAGGAGGGGCAAATAGAGCCAGCCTGGTTACACAGCAAGATCCTGTCTATAAACTTAAGTTTGCAAACAGGTAAATTTGTGGAGATACCACAAAGTCTGAGTTTCAAAGAGACTTTGAGCAATAGTGATTTTAGTTTAATAACTGACTGCAGCTTTCTAAGTAATTTTCTTTAAAAGGAACAACACCTGGTTTTTATGCTTTACTGTATGGTGGCAAAAACTGTGAAGTTTGTTGTGTTAGAGCCTACATTTTGAGCGTCTGATACTGGCCTGCTTGTAATCCTATAGTATTTTAAAATCATCCTAACCCTTTCCTTTAAGACACAGATACATTGTATTTTACAGGCGGCTATGGAGCCACTGCTCTAAATATGAAGCGTGACCCTCTGCACATGAGAACCAGAGGAGAAGAATTTCCTCTGACTCTGGGTCGGGATGTCTCTGGTGTGGTGATGGAGTGTGGACTTGATGTGAAGTATTTCCAGCCTGGAGATGAGGTGAGCTGGTCCTTTTAACTTCCTGTCTCTTCCTCACCTTCCCTCTCCTCTTCCATCCCCTTCTTCCCTCCCCTCCCCCTCTCCTCCCCTCCTCTTTCCTCTCCCCCTCCCTTTCTTTTTGTTTTTGGAGACTGGTTTTTATGCTAGCTAAGCTGATCTCAACTTCTTATATAGGTAAGGTCTTAGTTACAGTTCTGTCACCCTGAAGAGATACCATGACCAAGGAACTCTTAAGAACTCTTAGTGTTTAATTGGGGCTTGTTTATAGTTTCCGAGGGTTGGTCCATGGTTGGGAGCATGCAGGCAGACATGACACTAGAGCAGTAGCTGAGAAGTTTTTACCTACTGATCCAAGAGGCATTGGGCCTAGCCTGGGATTTTTGACCTCAGGGACACACCTCCTCCATCATGGACATATCTACTCCAGCAAGGTCATACCTTCTAACCCTCACCAAACAGTCTGTCAGCTAAGCATGCGGATATGTGAGCCTATGGGGTCATTCCCCTTCACACCACCACAGCGAGGGTGTGCTCGAACTTACAGTTCTGCTCTGTCTGCGTCTCAAAGGTCAGGTTTACTGGCATGGCCCACTATGCCTAGCCCCCTCACTCTTCATCCCTATTCTAAGTATGCAATTTTCATTCTAACATATATACATACATGTTTATTTACACACCATACATAACATACATATAACACGCACACACACTCACACACACACACACACACACACACACACACACACACACCCCTACCCCTCCCTGTGTTTTGAGACAAGGTTTCTTATGTAATAGCCTTGACTGTCCTGTTACTCACTATGTAGACCAGGCTGGCTTCAAACTCACAGAGGTCTGCTTGCCTCTGCCTCCCAAGGGGTGGATTAAAGGTGTGCACCACAACATCCAGCTTCTACTTTTGATTTTATTTATTTGTTTATTTATTTATTTTTTGTAAAGATTTGCTTTATTTCTATTGGGGGAAGGAATAGGATAGATATAACTGTTATCTAATCTGCTGTCCACTGTGTACACACATACCCACACACATACATATACACACACCAAAAGTTCCCCCCCGCCAAAAAAACAAAAACCACCCTCAAACTGTACCAATGCTTCATATTTTGACCAAAAGAATAGATCCTGGGAAGAAGTGCAAAATGCAAAATCAAATGACCGAGAAATGCTGAGCAAACAGCATCATTAATATACAAAATGTTTATGTTACTGAACTAATAACAGGTGATGTTCTCCATGTCTCTAAAACTTTGGAACAACAGAGCTGATTGTTAAATCTAGTCCATGCCAGCTTCCAAAACCCAGAGGATTTTAGGTAGCTTCATTTTTCGATGCTTCATCAAAATTTTCTACAAGGTCTGGACCATCATCATCCTCTTCATCAATGTCTTCTGGTTTGGGTGCTTTACTATCCAATACTTGTCGTGGGAACTGCTCAGCTAACTTTCTAAGGCTTGTCAAGCTGTCTGCACCAAGCTGACTTAATATTCTAGGAAGCATTTCTGTGATTGGTTTGGCTTCTGCATGACCAGTAATTGCAAAGGTGTTAGCGGAGAGGGAAGCTTGGACTTTGGGATTGTTGAAATGAATAACTGTCCCATCGTCTTTAATCATGTTCACCTCTTCAATGCCAGCTATAGTGTTCACAGCCAGTTTCTTTAGTGGACTTTGCAGCTTTTTGTCATCAGCAGTAGCTGTCCTATGTACCACCTTCTTCTTCCTGCGAGCTGTCCCCTTGCCCCTTAACCAGACCTGAGTTTGAAGTTTGGCTAACTTTTCTTGATTCATGCTGTTGGTAAATCTGCAGCGGGGAGGGTCCTCCAACACCAGCACGCAACAAGAGCCAGCTTCTACTTTTTAATTTTTAAAATAATTTTTAGACTGGCTATAGCTGGTCTTGAACTCGCTTTGCTGCTGAGGATGGTTGTGGTCCTAATCCTGCTCCACCCCCTGTCCTGGGATCGCAGGTGTGCAGTCCCTCCGGCTCACCCTACTGCCTTTGGAAATAGACTGTACCACTGAGCGGTTACTTGTTAGTGTGTGTACCGACCGACCTCTGGCTGGAACACTTTAGGTTCTTGTTTTGTTTCGTTTCGTTTTGTTTTGTTTGAGACAGGGTCTTGCTGGCTTGGAGCACACTGTAGCCCAGGCTTGTCCTGCACTTGTGGCTGTGCCTTGGCCTCCTCAGTGCTACAGTTATGGCTTAAGCCACTGTGCCCATGCTCAGCTTGTATTCGAGCTCTCTAAATTCAGTCCTTAAGAACTGGAAGGCTTTAAAACAGATAGTGTTAGGACACCTGCTTTATTTTGTTGAGTCTTTAAGTGAGTTTCTGCCTTATGGGTTAGCTGCTTTTGAGATAGCTAAGTTTCTACTATAACATATAAGTGCTATAATGTTCTGTAAGTTGTCACTTTGGACATTCTTGCCAAGACATAGGAGAGGGTACGTGATAGTAGCTGTGTTCTGCTTCCTTTTCACAGAGGAGATTAATCCCTGTAAGTTAGCACAGCCAGGCCAGGTTGCAGGCAGGGAAGCCCTGCTATGAGGCCAGCAGCGTGTGGTCAGGTTCACCTGTAATCGCAGCTCTGGCGAGTCTGAGGTGAGAAGATGGGAGTTTGTGGTCACTCTGGGTTACCCAGTGAGATCGGTCTATATAGGTAAATATGGGTAAGTAGACAGAAGCTGGGAGCCACAGTTAGTAAGCAGCAGAGCCACTACTGAAGCCCTGGAAGAGCCTTACCGAGTGCAGCAGGATATTTTACTGTGTGTTTCCAGTGTGATTGAGTTGGTAACTCCAGAATCATACTTAGCAAAAGAATTTGTATCATGTTAAACTTAGCTGTTTTGCACTGGAGCCCCCCCTTTCCCCTCCTCTGGGTAGCTAGCTGTGTATTAGGGAGTATCTTCATGCTTAGTTTCAGTCAGAAATTTCTGTATCTAGTAAAACTGTATGTCTGTGTGTTTCAGGTCTGGGCTGCAGTTCCTCCTTGGAAACAAGGCACTCTCTCAGAATTTGTTGTGGTCAGTGGGAACGAGGTAACTCTCACTGTCTGTGCTGAAATGCATAGCTGTGTAAGAACGACTGGCCGGTGTCTCTAGAGTCCCTGGTGGCTTTTCAGAGTAGCTTTGTATTTTAGAGAGAGCTAAAATAAAGAATAGGAAACTTTGGAAGGCTGAGAAATACTTGGTGTTTCTGTTAGCACTGCCTGCCAGAGCAGCTGTCTTTATCCCATAGAGCAGAGACTTGGACAGAGATTCGGAGATTGCCCAGTTTCTTCACTCCACCCAGTATGAACCACGCATATCCAAGCGAGAGGTGTGGAGGGGTCACACTGTTTAGAATAGCTGTTGGAGAGTCAAGGGACCTAGATCTAAGTAGAGAGCAAGGGTTAAGATTGAGGAAATTGGCCCCAGAAGGAAGCCTGGAGGCCCAGTTGGGAGTAGCTACTAGGGTATGAAAAAGTCTAGAAAACTACTTTCCAGAAAACAGAATAAGGAAGCAGTTAATCTCAAAGACTCATTAAAATGTGTTTATCAGGATTTGAAGTTTATTTGAGTTTAAGTCTGGGAAAAAAGTTGGATCTAACATGAATCCACATATGGTTTTTTAAAATAAACAATGAAGTATCTGTATCTAATAATGTAGCCTGCAAAACATTACTGAGCCTCTAGGATACAGGCGAAGAGCTGCTTGGAGACTGTTCCAAGACTAGCTTTGGAGTGGGGTGTGCAGTAAACCCTGAACCCAGAGTAGTTTACAAAGTTCTCTGTGCAAATTCTTGCTTTCCCTGAGGCTAAATGTTCTTAGCTGTATCTGTAGGCTTGCAAGTTCCTGCTTAGCTTTGGCCGTTTTCTTTCGATGTAGGTCTCACACAAGCCCAAATCGCTCACTCATACTCAAGCTGCCTCGCTGCCATACGTGGCGCTCACAGCCTGGTCTGCCATAAACAAGGTCGGTGGCCTGAATGACAGGAACTGCGTGGGGAAACGGTAAGTGGTCGATGGCGAGCGAACAAGCATTGGCCGAAGGTCCTTTTCTCTCTGCTAGTTCTTGACGGCAGGTCTGCTCCTGCTGAGGTTCCCATCAGCTGCATGGGAGTCGTGCTAACACTTGATACATTTTATTTTAAAGCCTCATTCTCAGCTGAATCAAATGGGAATTAAAAGATGTATCGTTGGGATCTCTAGGAGTCAGAGTCTCCTATTTGAGGGCGTTTGAACTTTTTTCTTTACATATATGTGTACTGTATGTATGCCTGTGAGTTTATGTGCACCAGATGCATGCAAGTGTGTTGGCTGGAAGAAAGCATTAGATCTCTTGGAGCTGGAGTTACAGGAGCCACTCAGTGTGTGCCCTAAAAGGGAGCCTGTGTCCTCTGCAAGAGCACAGGCTAGCATAACAGCTGAGCCATCTCTTGAGCCCGGGGGCAGCATTTTCTATGTGAACCTCCTGAGACAAGGCCAGCTTTTGTGCGGCTCCTAGAAAGGGCGAGGGCCTTCTGCTATGTGTGAAGAGCGCGCCAAGCTGAGAGCCGTGCTTTCTGCGCTGGCCTGGGCCTGCTCACAGTTTGTAGATGTTAATGAACCTACGAAATGCTGTTGAATGTTCTTGAGTTTCCCTCGAGGTTGGTTCTGATGCTCTGGTGACTGGAATGAGCTGGCTTAGGTCAGCTATGATGCAGTGACAGTCCTGGGCTCAGTTGTCCTCGTCGTGCATGTCAGTCTCCTGTGAACAACCAGAGTCTGAGATGGACGGCAAGTTCAGGAGAGTGAGCTGTTCTGAGAGAGCGAGAGGGAGACCGCTCGTCCTTGGGACTTTTATTACAGCACAGTGCTACATTACCTGCTCTGTTATAAACGACAAGGCTCTATTTATTATTTTACCCAATCTATAAACCTAATCATGGTTGTGTCTGCAGAAGAGCAACCAGTGTGCAAGGAGCCTGTAGGACAGATAACCACAGCGGTTCTGACCCTGTGGAGCGGGGTCTTAGCTTCTCATTCACGTTCTGAGTCTGCTGCTTCATAGCTGGGTGACCTAGTCAGTCATTTCTCTGAGTTTTGTTTTAAAGATCAAATGAGATTATACATGTAAAGCTGGTGGCACTCAATAAATGGTGGCTTCTGCTATTAACAAGGACATAATAGTGTAGTTAGTATCTTAGAAAGTTGACATAGGGACCAGTGAACTGGCTCAGCAGATAAAGGTGCTTCAGCTGAGCCAATAGCTGGAGGTCATGAGAGAACACACCCCTCCCCAGTAATGTTAAATGTTAACATTTTTAACATAAGTGTTAAAAAGCTCTTTTACAAAGAAAGTTGGCAGTGAAAATCATGATTTTGTCTGTTTGTTGGTAGGAAAGTAGGTATTCTGGACCGATTAGTCACTGGAAGGTTGGGGAGAGCTACATGTAGTTAATACTGGAATAAAATAACACAGTTTATTTGTGTATGTGGGGCAGAGATGTGCACTCTCAGAGGGCAAGTTACTGGTTCCCTCCTTCCATCTCCTGAGCCCCCAAATGGAACTCAGGTCCCCAGGCTTGGTGGCAGGTGACTTTACTCACTGACCCCTCTTCCCAGCCCCATAGTTCTTTTCTTTATTTCTTATTACAAACAAGGCCTATGTCACCCTGCTTTCCCATTATGAAACATTGCACTTTAATGTGGGACCAATAAAGCATTGTATTTGTAGACATTTAGGCTTTATTTCTGAAAGCATTTTGAAGGCTGTTTGTCGGATGAGGTGCTACTATGCATCTCAGAATTAAAGGCAAATATTTATTCTAAAGGCCAACCTTCTTTTTCCAGTTTTCCTGGGTTGTCTGTTTCGCAGTTGCCATTCTGGTCAGACAAGGTTTAAATGGAATAGCTTGACCATGGGCTCTGTTCCTTTCTGACCTGCAGAGATCTTGCAGATGTTTAGAAGTCTGTTGGAGGCGTTATTGTTTTGATTGCTTTCCCTTAAGAACCCTGGGCTCACTGTGCCTGTTCGGCTGTGTCCATGGTATGGTTGCAGACCTCTTGGTTCTTTTGCTGGCTCGGAGCTCTTGGAGCTCTCGGAGGATGTTTTAGTATACTGTAAAAAACAAACAAACAAAAAAACAAACAACAACAAAAAACAATGTAGGGACAATGTCTTAGGGTTTCATTGCTGTGAACAGACACCATGACCATGGCAACTCTTATAAAGGACAACACTAAATTGGGGCTGGCTCACAGGTTCAGAAGTTCAGTCTATTATTGTTGTGACAGGAAGCATGGCAGTGTCCAGGCAGACATGGTGCTGGAAGAGCTGAGAATTCTATATCTTGATCTGAAGGCAGCCAGGAGGAGACCATGTACCACAATGGGTGTAGCTAGAACATATGAGACCTTACGCCCACCCCCACAGTGACGCACGTCCTCCAACAAGGCCACACCTACTCCAACAAGGCCACACCTCCTAATACTGCTACTCCCTATGGTTCAGGCATTCAAACACATGAGCCTGTGGGAGCCATACCTGTTCATCCTACCACAGACAGAAATTTAGCTGCTTTTCCTTAGATTTGTCACTATCAATGCCCAACTTGCTGTTCATTTATGGGTAATTATTTGGCTTACTGTTATTGTCTGTTAAAGCCTAGTACTGGGGTCTCAGAGCCCTGGGATCTCCTCTGTTCTCTGCTGTTACCTCACCAAATGGTCACATGCTGTTTGTGGTCTCTTTGCTGTTTCCTCTGAGTGTCTGAACATGAGATCCTAAGTTGTGAGAAGAGTTTGAGAAGTGGGTTCATTTTATGTCTTTCAGGGTCATTACATATTCTAAAAGTGTAAACAGAATTTAAATTATATTTTATTTAACTTACTTTGTGGGTGAGAGCATGTGCATACCACAGGGTGTGTGGAGTTCAGAGGACAATGTTTAGAAGTTGGTTCTTGCCACCACAGAGGTTCTGGCAACCAACTCGGTTTTCAGACTTAGTGACAAATGCTTTAACCCAATGGTCCATCTTGCTGGCTGCAGGGCCATTAAATAAAGATATTAGACTGTGTCTGTTAATTGATGTAGCCCCTGAGAATGGACCTGGAGTCAGTTCCTCAAGGAGCCTCAGTAATCCACATCAGAGACTTCCTGTGCGCAGACGGCCTGGTTCCCGGCCCCCTTCCCCTCCTAGAACAAAATGCTACAGAGTGACGGCTTTTAAACAGCAGAAGTGTATTCCTCACATTTCTGGAGTCTAGAAAGGCCAAGATCAAAGTACTTGATGTGGGAAGCGGGTGAACTTCTGGTAGGTGTACAGTCTTCACATGCTGGAAAGACCAAGATCCTTGGGAGGTCCTTCAGAGGGCTCCACCCACATGACCTAAAATACCGCTTGCACCTTCACCTGGAGTTCAGAGAGCAGTGTCAGAGTTTTGGAGGGACACATTATAAACATTGGAACTGTGGCCGTTGGTACTTGATGGTCCCAGAAATATCAGCTTGATGAAATTATTACATGTGAGTTACAGTAATAGCCTAACTCTAGCCTAATTACTTAGTTGTGACGATCACAAGAAGTGGAAGTACCTTAAAATACTGGGAATATGCATGTATGTGTGCATGTGTATGTGTGCATGCATGTGTGTACATGTGTGCGTGTATGTGTGCATGTGTGTGTGCCTGTGAGTGTGTGTGTGCTCATGTGTGCGTGTGTGTGTGTGTTGGAAACCTTGAGCCATACACATGTTCTTCCCCCTCAGACTCCAAGTTGTAAATTTGGTATACCTCATTTTTAAAATACGATACAATTTAATGGTTTTATTGATTGGTAGGGCTGTGGGCACACCTGAGTATCATGCTCTGCCTGAAATTCATCTCTTGCTGGGAAAATTGTAGTTCACTGTGTTTGGCAGAAGCAGTAAATAGTGTTAGAGGTTAAAGTATACCTGCCACACCAAATAAATTTCACTTTTGAATTGTGCCCACTTGAAACTCAATTCGTTGATAGAAGTACTTTGCAGGTTTTGGTGTTTTGGTTTGGTTTTTATTCTGAGATTAGGATCTTTGTCAGGTAATATAAATTAGGTGCCTCATTCTGTTTAAAGAATTAGGCTGAAATTTTCCAACATCCACTCCCCACCCCCTAATGTATGCTTACCTTGAAATTAGAATGTCTGCCTGGTGATCCCCCAGTTTCCTTCCTTGTTGTACCTTCAGGTGCCCGGCCTTCACTTTGTCACCCTTGTTTTTTTTTTTCACTCCACTTCTGCCCCTGCCAGCTTTCGGTTTTCATCCCCATCTGACCCTGACCTGCTTGCTTGGCTACTGGGGAGAGCAAGAAGAAAGCAAGCCCAGGAACTGTCTTGCTTTGGAACTGTGTGGCTTCACACAGGAAGAGAACCTGGTTGGAGGCCTGGGCCTGCTGTCTTTGAGGATTAGAGACTGTCACTCTTCACTGCATGGTGGCCCTCTCTGAGCTCACGGTCACTTGCAGCTTCCGTGTGAGGTCAAGTGCTCCATCCACTGATGCTCCTGCCTCTCCTCCGGGGACTGCACTTTCTTATCTCCCAATGAGCACCCTCCCTCACTTCTTTTGTTTAATTTTGCTGTTGTCTTCAGGGCTTCCACTGTCTTCTCTGTCTCCCAGGCTCAGCTCATTCACTGCCCGACAACCCTCTAAGTCTTGGTGATGCACAGGTCTGTATTTAACTGTAGCTTCTCTACTGAGCCCCAGCCAGCTCCCCACTTTGTAGCTTAACCATAACTTGTGGAAAATAAGCCTCCCAGTGGGTTCTTCCTCTGCATTTCGATTTTTTAAAGTTGTATTCACCTATGTATATGTGTGCCTGTGGGTGTCATAACATGCACGGGGAGGTCTTAGGACAACTCAAAAAAGTCAGTTCTCTCCTTCCACATGTGCATTCTGGGGATCACACTCAGAGCTTCTAGCCAGCATCTTCACCAGTTGGGCCCTCTCATAGACTCTTAAAGGAAAGGATTTGTGTGGGTTATGTTGGTGCAC